TGTTTCAGATTCTAGAGAGTCAGGGATCCTATCTTACTTATCTTTGTACCATCGCAGAGTAAAAAATCTGTGCTTAATCTTTGTTAAATCAACTAATAAAAAAGGTCTACATAAGATTATTTTATGCTTTGCCCAAGTTACAGTTTCAGATAAGATTTTCTCTCTGTTAGGAAAAAAGCCCTTTACATAAATAATACGTAAACACATGTGAATTGTGGTACAATCTGAAAATTACAGCAAAATGAAAAAAAATTCAGATTCTTAGGTAATATAAGACCATGTAAAATGCATCTGAACACTCTTTATTCACTAATAGTTCGGTTGCTTATGATGAAGGTGAGAAATTGCTATAGGTACATTTTGATTTTTTCTTATATTTTTCCCATATGACATTTGCCATCTTTCTTTGACGGGCAGAGTGCAAAGTCAATAATAAACACAAATATTTTTCTTGTTTGTCATCATTTGAGAATATATACTAAAATTTACACATAGAACACTGTGAATAATGCTTATTTTAGTATAATTTTTCATAACTTGGGATAGAAAAGGACACATTAAGGATTAGTTACAAGATTAACTCTGTAAGTGTGATATTGATTATTTTCAAGTTAGGAATAGAAATGACACATTGTGGACCATTTAACAAAGACAGTGATAATTAGGCTTAAAGGCTGATAATTGGAGAAGTAATAAGTTGAGGCATGCATATATTTCTTGTTTATATAACAAGCAAAGGAAAATTAGATCTTTCCATAAAAACAAGTCCCCTAAGGATTTTAAATCTCTGTAGTAAAGGTGAGAAAAATGCTATTAAAAGTTAGTCATTTTGTTTTCTGGCCTACCTCTGATTTTTGCAGAATTTTTAAAAATTTAAATAGCACCTTGCTGAATGATGTGATCTTTGTTCTCTTCTAAATTATCTCTTGAGTCCAGGGGCTATGTCTTATTATTTGTTTCTGTATAGTTGCTAGCACATGGTAGGTACTCAAATTTTTATTGAATTGAGTTAAATTAAATTAAGATGCTGCCATCTAGAACTAGAGAGTAGGCCTTCTATGAGTTTCCCTGTAGGAGGAAATTGGGACAAAAAGTGAAAATCAGGTCTTTGTTCCAATCTTCAGAAGTAGAAAAACCAGTCATGAACTAAGAGAAGTGGGACATTAGCCCAATGTTGGAATGGAGTCCCTAATTACTTATTTTATATATTCCTTTTCATAGTTGATGACCAGAGTCACTATCAGGTTGGAGTCCAAGAACATCTGTAAAAACGTAGTGTCATTTGACACCTTTAAATTTTAGTATTATATAAAGAAGTTCCTTATGATATGCCAGGTTTTAGAATGGACATTCTTACCCTTTTTCTTAATGGTTAAGTGCCATCATTTTTAAGCTGTCAAGAAAGCGTTTTTGGTATTTCTTGAGTTGGTCAAATTCAACAAAATACTTTTATATTAATATACAGTTGACCCTTGAATAACAGAGGTTTGAGCTGCATGGGTCCACTTATATGTAGATTTTCTTCTACCTCTGCCACCCCTGAGATAGCAAGACCAATCTTCCTCTTCCTTCTCTTCCTCAGCCTACTCAAAGTGAAGACGAGGATGATGATCCAATTTCACTTAATGAACAGTAAGTATATTTTCTCTTCTTTATGATTTGCTTAACACTTTCTTTCTTCTAGCTTACTTTATTGTAAGTATATAAAACATATAACATAGAAAATATCTGTTAATTGACTATTTCTGTTATTATTAAGGCTTCTGGTCAACAGTATTGTAGTTAAGTTTTGGGGTAGTCAAAAGTTATTACGCAGATTTTCAAATGCTCAGAGGCTTGGTGCCTCTAACCCCTACATCACTAAGAGTTTTAATACAAACTTTAGTCAACTGTATTTGGCAAGGGTCAACTGTATTTGACAAATCTTCAAAATAATGCTTTAAGTTGTTGAGAACATTTGTATAGGTCTCAAGGGATAAGAGATACAAAGGAATGAAACATAAATAAATGACATAAATAGTGCAGTGATGCATTTTCATATGTGAAAAATAGTAATTTTTTGAAATGTTATTCTTGAACTGGTAAATTACCACTAACATAGTATTACTGTTCAGACTATATTTCTGAATCCATTGCAACCTAAAATTTAGTTATTTTATGTTAAAAAGGGCCAAAGCAAAGAACTTTCAGATCTAAGCGAGAAACTCAATACCACCAGGACTGAAAGTGTTTTCTTGAAATACCAGTGTTGGCAATACCTTTAGAATCCAGTGTTTTCTTCCAATACAATCAATAGTAGATGGTCTTTTCTCTAAGACAAACATTATGTTAATGTGCATATCTTAACACCAGGGGCTTAAAATAGCAAAAGGGGGTAGGAACTGAAAGTACATGGAATCCACACTGACTTGCATACTTAAGGGATTAGTAAAATTTGAGGTCAGCAAGAGTCCCAAGATACAAGAAAGATCAAGGAAGGAAGCACACCATGGTGGCTGTATTCCTTTCCTACTGGTCACAACATGGGCAGCTGGACAGGAAGGTGGCTCTTCTGTTTAGTGCTTTCTGTTATTCCTCTGTCTGTATGGTTGGCTTGTGGCCGATCCCTACTTTTATTTCATTCTTCAGAGGGAAAAATTCCACTTTAATATTGCTGTGTATGACAGCAAGTAGCATAGTACCTCACACATAGTAGGACTGACTGAGTGAAAATCAGACTAGTGTCTTATTCTAGTAGGATGTCTGGAACATTTAGTTCCTTGGACAAATTCAGTCTTGCATTACTTTAATGTGATGATTGAAATCATTGCTGTCAAATTGTACTAATAGAATCTCATTGGATTTCTAAATAGGAGCAGCCTAAACAGGAACCTATTTTTATCATCTCAGATCCAAGGAAACTTTACTGTAGTAGAAAGAGCTCCAGACTGGAAGAAATATAATATTTACCTAGGAATATTTTTCAAAAAGTATATCCTCACCTATTTCTTCTCCTCATCCCCACCAAGGACATAGCAGAATCTCCAAGGCAGATAATATGTAGTTGAGAAAAAGTTGTTCATGCAATTTGTATTTCCTGTTCCCATCTGTTTCTCTTCACTTTCTGAGTTTGAAAATCAATGGAGAAGTTGAGCTGTAAAATTCTATGATTTTGTTAGGAAAAATTTCACTACCTACTGATTGTTTTCCTCCTAGGAGTTATTAGTTTTATACATATCTTCTTCATTGGGACTTATTTAGTATGTGGATGCATTCTCTCAGGTCATGGGCATTAATTCTAATATATTCTATTAGATAGGCAGCAGATTAAATGAGGATCATTTTCTCTTTCTCCACTTTGTTGTGCTAGGCTGGTAGTTGACATCTTGGATCAGATAACTTTAGATCCATAGGCTTTCTTGATCTTTAGAAGTAGACTGTCTGCTGTTGCAACCCTGGCTAAGTCCTATTATATTGGCAGAAATAGTAGCTCTGTCATATCGTAAGCACTCAAGCAATGGTTGTTCCAGCAAAGTACCTTTGTCGTTTAATTATACACATTTAGGAAAATATTGATAAAAAGTAATTTTAAATACAATATTACTTTTATTTTGACTTTTGGAATTAAGGGCCAGACTTTTTCTTAGTTATATTTAAATTAATTTTGAAGAAATATAAGTGGGACAACATAGGCTTCTCAATGGAATAGAAACAATCTTTCTGAAGTGAAGTTACTATTTTTACTCTAACAAATTGTTTGTGATTGTTGATTATGGTCACTTGAATGGGAAGGTAGCTTTTATTCATCAGTCTGTGGTAGAAAATAAAATTGACCCCCATATCAGTAAATTCCCAGTCAGATATCTTGTTATGTAAACCCTTGGTATCAACTCAGTATGCTGTGCACAAAGTAGCCACTTAAATATATTAATCATTAGGGTTTTAAAAATAATTGTTTTCTTATAAAAATATTAGAAGCTTGTTTTAAAGAATTGTATTGAGAAGGAAAGCAGATAAAAGTTATCCATAATTCCACTTGCAATGAGCATTATGGGAAATTTTGGTGTATTGCTTAAAATTTATTCATTTCTGCTTATTAGAGGTTTTAGAATCTGGTAAAATTTTTCTTATTTAAGGTAAACTATGTTAATAGTTTTTAGTCAACCTCTTTCAATCCCTGAAAGTTCTTTATTACTCTTCATTTGTAACCTCCATACATTTAGTCTGGAGTTCAGTGATATATGGGCTTCATTACTTAAAATACTCTAGATCTATAATCACTTTTAGGAAATATGTGTAGTCACTTGACAATCCTCACAAACTACTTCTTCCTACGAAAGAGCGTATCTTTTCTTCTGTGGATTATTTAAATAATCCCCTACCCCTATTTTGTTGAGACTTTTAGGCAAAGGGATATATGCTTGGGCTGTTCTTTTCAGATTCATTGTCTTTTCAAAGTGCTTTAGTATCTTAATCATTCCTGCTATCAAAATATTTTCTTTCTCTGTCATTTTTGTTGGGAAATCATAGAAAAACAGATACTTTATTTTTAATAATGTGTGACTTACCTAAGTTTTTCACTTTTAAAATACTGAAAATATCTGTCCAATCCTTAGAGTCAACAGTGACTTAAATGCTTGATTTTGTTGTCGTTGGTGGTGAATACTTCAGCCTCATAAGACTTGCTAATATTAAGGTCATCTTATCGGTTTTAAAAGCCCCCAGGTACTCAGAGCAGAACACCTAGTAAACCTTATTGACAACATCTTGCTTGAATTATGTCTCCTATGGGGTTCTGAGAATGAAGTGAGTTACTTCAAAGTGTCAAAATGAGACTGATTTGGTTGGAGGCCAACTTGGACTAGTATATATGAAAAGTGAGCATCTTAGGTGAGATTCTTAATGCCCATTAGACTTGTAGCATTGTCTGCTGTATTTTATGCTAGTAGCCAGGTGTGGGCAGTGATATAGGGCTTGGGGGATCTCTCTTACCGGCCCAGGGATCCAAGGCATTCAGTGCAAAACCTGGCCAGCAGCCCGAGTGAGTAGGAGCCATGTGACTCTGGTGAGTTGGAGTGTGCAATTGCCTCCTGCTTCAGAGCTACCTGATCCGAATACTAAGCAGAGCGAGTGCCGGGCTGAGTGTAAGACACTGAAGACACTGCAGAGCAAGGTGCTTATTCCAGAGGCGTTACAAAACATGGAGATTAAAGACCAGGGAGCCCAAATGGAGCCGCTGCTGCCTACGGTAAGAGACAACCTGCTATCACATAGATTAACCGTGTTTGCTGCAAAACCTGTTAGGCAAGTGGTCTGCTAGCTAGGTGAAGTGAGTGTACTTTTGGGGTGGTGGATAGCTCCTACGACATATGGACAGGGGTCTCCTCCCATCTTGGGAGACTGAAATGCATAAAGCAAAGCACACGATTCTCCCCCCCCTTCTCAATATGGATGCACTACGGTGATGAAATGTCTCATGTTTGCTGCTGTTTGAAGAAATCGCTAGGTTTTAGCAGCAGGGGCAGTTACGTGTCTCTCTGCCTGCCTGTTACTGCTTATCTCTCTGTTTCTCAGACTGTGTACTGGTTTAAGCCCTTGGAAAGAAGCCCCCTTTTATCATGTTTAATCCCTGTCCAATTTCCTCCCCCTGCCTCATCCCCAGGCAGTGAGGTGAGGGAATCTGCTGCTGTTGCAGCTCTAAAGATTTAGTCTCCACAGAAACCAGGGGAAAGAACAGGACGATCGTGTATATGTGTGTGTGTGTGCGCGCGCGTGTGCGTGTGTGTGTTCCGTCTCTTTCTCAAAGGGAAATGTGTAATGGTTTTTATACAAAGAAGGTATGCATTTTTGGGGGACAGACACACAATTCAGATTTGAATATCAGAAAGGTTTCTGAACTGTCATTTGGTAATAGCCCATCTGTTTATCTCTGGGTTCTTAAGCTGTTTCCCTAAATTTAATTTTTGAATAAGTGATTGATTTGCTTATCCTCTCCACAATCTCTCTGTCTGGCTCGCAGACTTTGGAGATCTTCAGGCAACATCTTTTTGAGTCTGGAGCAGCTGCTGTTGCTGTGTTTAAGGAAAAAAGAAAAAAAAACCAAAACAGTATTTTCTTGATGCAACAGAGATGACAGTCATAGCTTCCAGCCATCTATCAGTGCTACCACAGCAGAAATCCCCTCCCTGCACCAAACCAGACGGAGGGGCTGTTTCTCAGCTCCCTGTTACTAAGGTTGGTGACCCACCTTGCACGGAAGGGACCGGCGGTGAGCTGTCCATTTCCGAGTCCATTCCTAGGTTTTCAACAAAATGCTTCCGTAGGAGGAGTGGGCAAATTCTGGGCCACTGTATTTTCAGGGCCTTACCTCTCCTGCCGGGCTCACATGCTGCAAAAAGATTCCAGTTTGCATCCCCGGAATCAACTGTGGCGACTGAGCATGCCCAGTTCTCCTGCGGACGCCAGGTTTGAGCAGGGAGGGAGCAGAGTGATGGGAAGAATGCAAGGAGTTACCACAAGAATAGAGTCTCAGTAGAGGACAGGGGCAGCATGGGGGTAGGGGGCCGGGAGAAAGGGAACGGGAGAAAGAAGTTTGTCAATTATCCTGCCTGCCTAAAAATAGAGATATTTCTTTGTGGCATCAAAGTGGAGTTATAAAAAAAAGTGTAAAAGATTTGTCCATCTTCCCAAACTTGAACAAATACATAAATTAGGATTCTGTTAGTATTCAGAATAAATAGTGTTAAGAATATCAGGGAACTCTTGTTCCCTGGATGAGACAGGAACTATACACAGGAATCGTGGTATGGGGGTTAGGGAAGGTTTAGGGAAACCCCCAACTCTTTTTTTGTTGGCTGGCAGTGGGGGTGGGGTGGGGTGTTGAAACCTGTCCTAGAAAAGCAGGCTGAAGCCAGTTTGATGTGGCTTATGGATTGTCACTTGTGGGGAACAGTTAAAGGGTTTAGGACCAAATGAGGATTAACTAGAGGAATTTAAGAGGATGACATTACTGGGCTAGATGGGCAACCAATTTATAGCTTAAAAGAGCAGAGAAAAAAAGTCTTTCCAGAAAAGGTCTACAATACATCTCAGGGAAATTTTTGAAAGCGAGAATCAAAATTTGCATGCCATGGGGTTAATGGTCAGTACAAAATGGTGACAGTTTAATGGTAAAAGAGAATCATATTAGCAGATCATTACAAGAAAAACAAGCCCGATGGGCTAGAGAGGATGCTGAATTACTGGTCCAGTTTTATACTTGTATAGCAACTCCCCCAGTTGCTTTTATGAAAATCTTTTTTTGTTTAGTTTTCAAAACAAACATGTTATGTAAAGCAGATTTTATTATTTTCATTTTCAAGGTGAGAAATTGAGGTACAGGGAGTCTGAATAACATGTCTAAGATCACCCAGTGATGAAACCAGGACTAGAATTTAGGTCATCTAAAACTAGTTCAGAAATTTAAAAAAAAATTTAATATTTTTTACGTTACATTCTTAACCAGGCTTAACATGATCCGTTCCTGGACTGAAGTTTTTATGCTTGGAAGAGAGCTTTGGGCTTTGTTTTAGAAAATTAATCAGACGACTTTGCAAATAATTATGTGAGAGGCAATATGGCATAATATTTAGAACACAGTCAAGGCCCAACACTGCTATTTATTCGTTAAATGATATTGGGAAAGTTATAAGTCATAGTGTCTTCAACTGAAAAATGAAAAGGGAATGTTACTATATATCTCTTGAGTTTTGGAATGAGCAAGTTAAATAACTTATATGAAGTTTCTGACATTTAGTAAGTGTTCAATGAAACTTACTTGCTATTGTCATTGTCAATCTTGCTGTAAATGAATATGTTATGGTTATATTCATCTCAATATAGATACTGAGATGATGCATAGGTTTCAGGTTTTTACGAAAAGTGGCTTGTCAGTACTGTCTACCAAGAAGGAAAAGTGGAAAATGGAGAACTGGAAAAGACTCTTCATAGTGGAGGTGGGAGGTGGAATTTTTTAGTTATTATTATGAAAACTTTGCAATATGCTTGGAGAGCCAATTGGACAGGCATTAAAAGCCAATATTAGATATGGGACAGAAGCAGTCAGAGGTAGAAAGTTAGAGAAGTGAAAAAGAAAGAAAAATAAGAATAGATAAGAATGTCAGATGAGTGAATGTATTAATCCTGACTCAAGTGAAATGGAGGAACAGATTCTCATTAAGCCTCCCAGGGTTTACCTCCATTTAGTATAGTATATATAAAGTACATTTGAAGGATATGGGCAGAGAAGGCCTAGACATGTTTCTCTTTTTTTCCCAGTGCTTCTTAGGAAGCTTCAGTGATAATTTCCTTTTGCTGGACAAGCCATCATTGCATTTTGTAGACTCTAATCACTCCAAGGGTTAGGGCGTTCACTCTTGTTGGCTAAGTGTATAGTCTGGTTTTGGTAGCAACTGACTGTTATGTCTGAAGTTATAGAAAAAGTGTACCAGAAAGATGCATTCTCTTAAGTGCCTACTGTTGGCCAGTCCCATTCTTGGTGCTGGAGATGCAGCAATAAATAAGGCAGGAAAACACCCTATATAAGTGAAACCTCACACTCCAGCTAGACTAGAAATAGGACTCGATTTACCTTTTTAAGAGACTGCTGCTTTCTCCTCAAATGTTTAATAATTGTTATAACCTTTTTGAGATGGATGTATATGGGGAATATATGTAACAGTAATAATGGTGATATCATTTTAGTAAGGATGGAATTAGCCTTTTAAAAGTACAAAGCCAAATATTTAGGATTACATTATGATTTCACATTTTCGTTTGATATTCAATGTTGAATTTGCTTTTAGGATTAACCTAACAATTTAAAAATTATCAGGCCGTGGAAGAAGCTTCCAGGAGAATATATAACAAATATTTATATCTCATGACATTTAATCTTGGGTGATCTATAGTGAGTTCACTTTGGATCCCTTCTAAGATTCTGATGTCTGAAAAAGGACTTAAGTTGAGCTTACTCGTAACATTTCCCTAAGGTATAAAACTACAGTAAAGTTCACTTTTAAAATGTAATCTGATAATATAGGATAGATGATTGGATTTAGTACTTTTAGAAAGTGCTAATTCCATATTTCCAAGTGGCCCAGTTTATTGAATTGTTTTATTTGTGGAAAAAAGTTATAAAAAGTCTTTAATATTATTAAATCAGGGAAAGGAAAATGGGACTAAAATGTCAAAGTAACAAAAAGAGCACATGGATTGGCTAAGTAATATTGTTTTTTCTTTTCAATTTGAATTGAAATTTAAATTATAATCTGAGTTTAAAGAAAACATACTCACTACACTTCATAGTCAGTAGGAGGCAAAATGCAGTATAAGAAATTAATCTTCATTTCTACTTTCATGATTTGAATTGTTACTCTAGCATGGTAAGTGACTATAGAAATAAAATATATGTATAGAATGCTAAGGTTGGGAATGAGTGGTAGAATCTGAAGGCTGTAGGAATTAAGTTTACTTCTTTATTAATATTATGTTTATGATAAAATATTGAGATCAGATTAGGAAGTAGGCTAGTTTATGATGAAGAGTTAGAAAATATCTGGGCCAGGGTCTGGAACTCAAATAGAGTCAGAGAGCATGGTCAGAATACAATGATACTGCCAGTGTATCATTTCTTTCTAACCTTGAATAATACTTGCTTCGGAAGTCCAAACTGGGCATGAATAGATTGCAGTGTATTATGATGTGCTGCAAGTAAGTGGAGAAATGTTGATGCCCCTCTCAACCCTTCTGCGAGAGAGACTTCACCTCTTCCTTTCTGATATCACATAGGACACATGACAATGATCACTTGACTTTCTGTGAGGACACCGTTGTCAATCTATATAGTAAATATTAGTTAAGTTTTATGTTTTATTTTTAGGTAAAATAAAATTAAAATGAAGTTTTAATATATTCTCGCACCACAAACAGTTGTCTCAGATACTATTTGGGGTGTACTGCTTTTTTGTTTTTTAGAAAAAGGGAATAATTTGGCATCTTTTATGGAATTACATATATATATATATATATGTATGTCTTATTTTTTAGAACAATATAGGTTCACAGCAATATTAAGCAGAAGGTACAGAGATTTCCCCTATATCCCCTGCCCTTTACACATACATAGCCTCCCCGATTAACAAGATCTCTCACCAGAGTGGTACATTTGTTACAGTTGATGAAACATTATCACCCAAAATCCACAGTTTG